TTGCCCTCAAACCGCATCGCCAAACGTACAGAAGTGTGATCTGCATGCGTCATCGCATTGGTGGATGGGTGGACAGTAACGGGGAGGGATCCGCAACTTTGGCCCATATAGTTAGGCAAAGCCAATATGGTTAGTTGGATTGTGGGAGTGTGTTCGCACTTTCTGTGAATGATGCGGATTTATCGCACAAAACCTGCGGTGCTTCTTTGTCCAAAGCAAGAAGCACCGCCGATCCAAAACGCACATGAAGACACCTGCTGCTACTGTAGACCACCAGTAAGGCCAGCGCTCAGGCGTTTCGCCACCGAGGCAGTATGTGTCACGGGCAGGAAGCTTCAGACTTGTGCATTTACGTTTGAAATTGTGCAAGGCCTTCTAAATCAATTACACTGCAAACTCATCACTTGCTCGAGAACAGCTGCGAGTCGTGGGATACCCTTAGAACCTCCTGATATTCCGTTACCTGGCGAATGGGGTAGTCTATGAGCAAACAGCGACAGTATGGGCATTCTGGTAACGTCCCACCTGGAGATTGCTTTTCTTGTGCACAGCTATGCGCCGGGAGATCAGCAGAGTGGTCATCTTTTCACTATGCAGGAAGTATGGTGCCTATGTCGGTTCCAGTGTGCAGTGCTGTGGACTTAGTAACCATGGAGCGCCGTAGAGCCATGCTGTGCATATAATTGTCTGTCAATTACTTCCCCCTCGACGGACAACGGTATGCAAAGCACTCCTCTGCGGCGATCCATGATTCCTCCTAAAGGAACTCCCTACAACAGTTGCTTGGATGCCGGTGTGTGGTTCAATTTGCTATGCCATTCGCTCACGCTAGATGATTGCGTCGAGTTGGCGTGAGCAACTGTTTCAGAGCGTTGGCTTGCCCTGCACACATGGATAGGAGTTTACGGAACATTTAGTCCGTATGCTCTAGACCGCATGTGCAGTAAAAACGCCCACTGAGGGGGTACCTATTTTTGATATGCATGCCAGTTTGTGAGGCGTCTAAGCTACGCGGCTTGGGCTCGTTTGGGTTTCAGAAGAACAGGCTGTCGTGGCAGCAATTGGTTGTCGTGACGGGCGAATAGCGTTGCATCAAACAACACTTGGCAACCATTGTGGTCCATTCTCCTTTCCGTATTCTGGCTAGATTACTATCGGTTTGCGTAGCCACTACGCTGCAGGCCTTGAGTGTCCATTTCATGCCGTTGAATACTTATCATATGCACCTTCTAGATACAACGGTTGAAACCGAGGCAGCTGGCATGAATGTTTCTTGCGGTTGCAAGCGTGGTTGAGCAGCACACTCTACGAATAATGCATTGCTTGGTATGACGAACCCATCTCCTGCTAGCTTCAGTACAGAAGTATAACCCCGTATTGTGATCAGAACGCGAATTAGAGGAGTGCATTCACGGTACGTCTCACCTGTCGCCCCCCAAGTTTTTATATTTCTACACAGAATCCTCTTAAGAATCCGTTCTTTCCTCGCAGCACGTGAGCAAAGTAAAGTGTAAGGGACAGTGCATCCGTGACCAATCAAAAGGTGCGGAGCGGCATTATGGCGAGCTAGATCACCCCTCGGCGGACGCCGTTGGTGTAGAGAGCATGCAACGTCTACACAATATTTGAAGTCATACCTTACGCAGCGCTAATCGGGCCCTTTTTTCAACGTATCGTGCATCTCCAAGTTGTCATCTTCCGCGTGCGCGTGTAAGGGTTTTTAAGAAACGCGGCCAACAAGGTGTGTGTACCTTCATTCCACACTTTAGTTCTTGGTTAGGGCTTTTTCTGTGAGTCACCCAGGGAACTTGCCCATGCTTTGGATGCCATGGGGTTGCCGCGACATGCTGGTGGCAGCTCTAGAGTTTTGCGCATGAACGTGTGCACCTTGATGCTAGCAAATGCCCGTAAACTAGCGGAAGATTTTTACCACCCAAGCCTGACGAGCATTTTTCTCCGCGCTGTGGATAGGCGCCTCTAGACAGCTTTCAAAATGATATTACGACGTCCTGCTGCATATTAATGGAAGCCCTGAAGGCGCATGAGTAAAATGTGAGCTGTTACGTCGGATCCTGCGTCGCTTGGCAGACGCAGTTTTGTCCCGCTGTTCTGGATAATGACGTGCGCAACTTCAAATCATGGTTATGCGCATAACCATGATCTGATGTTGTGGAACAGCTGCTTTTGGTTCCTAAGTAAACCACGGATGCATTAGTCAAACAACTTCGTATCAGAGTGTCTTTCCTTTTCGACGGAACCCGGGTAGCCTAACGAAATTAGGAATGGGATAAGCCCAAAGAAGATGGGTCCAGTTGCATGTTGCTAGGGGAGCCCGATGTGCGTATTTGAAATGACTGAATCCTCTAGTCGTGTGCGCGCTAAAAGATGGTTTGCGAGGAGCAGTGAGGCGTGTTGAAGAAGCGGCAGCCAGAGGCTAAGAAGAGAAAGTGAGCGAATAGGGAAGAACGTTTAGCTGAACTGAATTTGGGCTTGCAGTTAGTAAGCGACATTGATTACTTGTGATACTTGAGACTCTAAAGGATATAGGTGCATTGGGGGGCCAGCTTGGCATTTGCTTCTTGCAGTATCATCCTGGGCGTCTCCTTTAGTGTACCCGACATGTTATTCATTGCTTGTTTCATAATTTTTCGTGTGCGTTGTATATACTCCAAGGTATATGACCTTGCGATGGTTGTATGGCTGGACGTGCTGATAAGTTCAAGGACCCGGCTAGAGATGCACGAGAAAGAAGACAAAATTCGGGCAAAATTTTTCTCGTCAGCATCCATGGTTTTGATTGTGCTTGCAGTTGAGCGACGCTTGCCTTTTCGCATGCATGTTTAACTTGAGGCAGTGACCCCAACAATAAATAGGCCTGTTCTTTTTGCGAAGACTTGCATCGACACTGAGTGGTTGGTTAATAACGTACCCAGCTTGTGCGTCTAACACGCAAGCATTGCCTGCCCCCTTACGCGAAGCCCAAGTATTTCTAGCAAATGCAGCTGCTGATAGTGGTGAATAGTCAACTGCCACGTTAAAGGACCGAAGGAGACAATTTTGTTTTTCCACAGAATTCAGGAGTGTCTTGCGTACTGCGACCATTTTCTGGATGTCAGCCCACGGCTGCCTCGAGCAGTCCAAAGCTGCCTCGCGACCATTCTTACGGTGCACAGAACCCCCCGATTAGTACAATTTTGCAGCACCCCGCACTTCTCCCGTTCTTAGCTCTAGTCTGAGGTGAGTCTCTTCGTGCCCACTCCGCCGGGCCCGTTGCCTTTTCTAGGCCTGTTAGATTACGCTCAAGCCCCTCTCGAGCTTTGCGGAATCGTGAGCTTGTATGTATAATGAGGTGCACTTTATTGACGTTGGTGCATAGCTTCCGCTATGCACCAACGCGGAGGCAGTTGTTATTGCCGAATATAGGTCTGGTGCTCATTTGCCCGCTTGAAGGGATCTTAGTGTGCTCCACGCTGTGATCAGCCATTTGCTTCAACAAGAATACTATGATACATTCTGTGATTTGCTTTCGTGACTGTGGCCAGCATTCTTCACTCATAATCTCATTAATGGCTTTAGTTGCTCGCGTTTTGTCACAAATTTCCGGTTTCTCGGTATTGGGAAAGTGCATAATAGGGTCTCGCTTGGGTCGAGTCGCTTTCGGGGTTCTTTGTACCTAGTTGTGACGTCGTTCCTTTGATTGCTGACTCTTGCCTTTACCTTGCTGCTCAGACGCAGTAGACGCATAGAGTTTTGCACTCTCACGAGGCTGCTGCAGATTATTTCATTAGTTGAGTTGCTATGCTAAGAAGTGCAGACCCAGAAGAAAATTTATTTCTCCGTAGTCTGTAGGCCGCACGCCCTTCAGGAACCCGCAAGGGGATTTATGGGGTGCCCGTCTCCGGATATATTCTAGCGTGTGGTTGTGAATTTGCTGGAGTTCACTCTGTTGAAGGTCTATTATCTCGTTTGGCTGACTGAAACCAACTTAGGCACTCACGTGTACAGAATGCATATCAGAAGCTGCCAGGCTTTCTGTAGTTGTATGCGGGGGCTCTTCGGTGGTGAATTTTATTGCGGACTGAGCAGCCAGAAACTTTTGCCTTTTTTGCCTTTTAGGGCGACAGGGTACATCTGCACGCACGATTTCCCCTCCACCAGGCTTGCATACTTCTTTAGGATACTGAGACAGAGTAGGTCGAATACAGTTGTCTCTCGTGGACAAGGGTCTGTTCAGCACTTTTTGCTGCATCCGCTCATCAGCATTGGTTAGCTGTGAAGCTGCAGAGCGTATGTCATTCGCTTTGAACGAGGCGCGTTCCACATCAACCTAAACATGTATAAAGTCAGGCAATGATATTTTTGGACCCACAGTTGTTTCATTAGGTGTTATCAAGAAGAGTGGTGGGGTCGTTGGTGGCTGAGCCTTTCCCAAGGCACACTAGCTGCGGCCATGGGGTCAGTGATGCATGCTCGATGTATATCAGAAGCTGGCGCGGAGCAATCTTGTGGGTTGGACGTTGATCAGTTGAGGGCATATGCCTATTCTTCCTGCTTGGCCGTCATCGTTATCACGCAATGTGCCTTCGTGGCAGGGTATTGCGTGCCATTTTTACCCTTGTGCGGACTTGCGCACCCATTCCAGCACATTACTACGCTTTAGCAGCTGCAAAAGGAGATAGTACACTGCAATAGGCCTTCGCAATAACACAGGTGTTACTGGAGTTCTTTTGATTATTTTCTCAATACCTCGCTCCAGTCCTTTCAAGCAAACTTCCCTTGGTTTGCCAGTTTGTGAGGCGTGCGAACTAGATAATCCGTATCTGGGCAACGTCTGTGGTGCTAAAACTGCGTTTAACCAGGGGCGAGCCCATTGCACAACGCAAACGAAATTGGATCTAGTTGTGCAGACAGTTGGCGTGGGAGTTGCTGCGGCTTGCTTACTTGTCTTTCGCTTGTAGTCTTGAAATCAAGTGCCTTGCAGACAGTTTACTGCAGTGGTCATGCTTCCCTTAGCGTGGGAAAAAGTGGCTTCAAGAAAGCAGTGCAGCGCGGGCGAACAAGGTATTGCACATGTAGGGAGGTTCAGCTTGCAGAAAACCATGAGCCACGTTTGCAAATGACGTGGAAATTTGCCGATCGCCTAGAAAGTATGTGCACACTTTGTGCTAGATGTCCCAAAGGTGAGAATGAGTGCAGTACACTAGCAAGCACATGATCTGCAATTGGCGTAAATACTTTCGTTGGTGCATGGTTCTGGATATCAGCCTCTGCAAAGCACCTTATCAAGCATTCATATTGTGTTGTAACAGCTTGCGCTAGCGGTGTGCGTTTCCTAGCATCAAACCTAGGTTCGTGGTATTATTATTTGTCCCCGTACTACTTTCTTCTGGATTTTTCTTCGTTGGGCGTGGGCGTCGTGATTCGTCCCACCGGTTGTGGTGGCTTTGTAGCTCTCTTCGTATCGAGCTTGAGGGAGGAAGACGGGAGTGGGACGTTACGGCCCCCGTCAGGGCATCTCTTTCTCAAGTACAATTGCCTTCAGCTTCACCTATTTTCACTTGCCTGCATTTTTCAAAAGCAAATTTTGTGTTCCCAGAGGGTGTGCTCAAAAGCAAGGATGCAGCCTTTCATAGCCTCATCGCAGGTTGCGTTCTTCAACATCTACGCATGCTGAGTGAAGTGGTAATTGAGTGGTTTTGTCATACGCTGGGTGCAGCGCAGGGCTTGACACGGAACTTGGCATCAATTTTCAGTTAATGGCGCATTTCGCCAAAGACCAACGAGAAAGGCTTTGCAGTCTGCTCTCGTGCTTCCTCGGCAGCATCGAGTTAACCCCATGGGGTTTACGGCACATCCCGTTTACGAAGGTTATCATAAGCGGCCCAGCTCAGTGTGCGCATACGTATATTATAAGTATAGCGTGGGTGGGTGGGTGTGTGCAGTCTCAGGAGGAATTTATGGCTTACCCTTACATACTGTCTTATAGGAAAGCTGAGCCGTGTGAACCGTGAACTTAAAGCAAGTTAAGTGAACCTGTAGGACGTGAGTGAAAGCGCACCTCTCGACAAGTTTGGTGTGAATTTATCATGCGCACCTTTGCGATGCAAAACAGTGGCCGGGGAGTGAGGTTTCCTCCGCTTCGCCCTTTTGGGAGACATATACTTCAACTCACGCATCGAGCTGTGGCTTATTGGTTTGCTAGGCGTATCTGTAGGTCGCGAAGTTTGTACCTGCAAGATACTTCGTATGTTATGCCAACACCATCACCACCGCAGAGCACTAAAAAGGGCCTGCGACAGGAGCGGTTGCAGCTCTTCACGGCCCTCCAGGCTTCACATCAACAGAGACTTGCTACTTTTCAACTTTGCCTTGCTTGCCTTCGACGTACCAAACGGCTTTTTCAGTGGATCCATAGCACAGAAGCACGCACTGTCCAGCATGGGTTTCATACGAGCGTCCGCCATTCGGCTCATTCCCTGCCTCCATATGCAGTCGCAAAGGAGGGATGTTAACAAATTTTCTTTGTGCGCAGGGAGTGGGTCGTATTAGCAGCATTGTGCCCGGGAAAAATGAATGTCCACTGCACATTGGCTACAACAGTCGTGCGTTGGCCTTCGTGGCAGGATATTAACTATGTTTCGGCGTAGATGCTCTCTTCACCAAGGTATAGTCCTGCTCACCCTCATTTGCAGCTAGTTGACGTTTCCTAATTGGCATCGTGTGGCGGTGGCTCGATAACCGTCTTTTTGCAATGGGGGGAAGTAAATCGCCACGTTATCGTCCTATTGGAAGAATTGCGAAATGTAGTTGAAAGCATTGTATGCCCGTAAGCTTTTGGCAATATGGTATCTCAGTGATCACTGACGCCGCCGGAGGCACCCAAAGGCCTACCTCCTTACACAAGGTTGGATGGCGTCTTTTCCTAAGGCTCTACTAGGATGCTGGGTCGATGAGCAGGGCCACGTTAGCCAGACAGCATTAGCCTGACTTTGGCAGCTGTTACTTAGTGGATGAACTATTAATACCATTCATTTTGACAGCAGGGGTTCCCCCATGCAGTACGTGTGAAAGAGCTGGTCCGTGTGAGGTCGTGGTGCTATGTTATGCAAGGCTGTACGGTTGCGTTGGAACTGCTAGTACAGGCTTCGGAACAGCATGTAGTTGCTTGGAGACTTTCCAAAAACTACTTGTTCTAGCAGGGACGCACACGGTTCCAAACTGGCTTGTGGTGGTGTACATGAGTGCATTCAGTGCGTATGCAGTCTTGGGCTTTTTGCTGAGCTTAAGGGCTCATCAGTGTCCTGTCTTAGCAACTCCTGCTCGTGAACACACACAAGCCTATCAGGCGTATATCGGGCGTGGGACTAGACGAGGTTCCGTAAAGCAGTCTCAATATCAGCTGGTCTTGGCTTTTTTTCACTTGACAAGATCGCGGCTCACGGAGAGTGCGTTTGCTGCGTGCGGCGTGTCCTTCATATACTCATGGGAGTATGCTGCACCATACAGTAATCGTAGGCCATTTACTGGAATTGGTGCGAAGGCCGTACGTGTTAGCAGCATTGCTCAACCATGCTTGGGGATAGTGGAACGCGCCTTGCAATGCACATACTTGGTTGGCCGGAAGGTTGCACGTTGGGGGAGTCGAAGGCGTTCGTGTGCCCAAACGCTTATGGCTGTGGTCTCCATATTACGCGGCAAGTATAGGGCTTTTGCGTAACCAAGGCGCTGCTGGTAAAAACATAAAAGCATATCTTTTGTGAGTCCAGCAGGGCATGTAGGTATGGGGATACCCTGTTGGCTCACTGCTGAGTGTCGGGCATCTTCCTAGAGTGCACGTAGTTGAGATTTCTGCTTGGATCTGTTGAAGAACAGGACTGCACAATAAAACTCTTTGTACTGCTGCTTTACGTATGCGCACAAGGGAGGCATGCTGTACCTGCAGAAAGTTCGGCACACACATCACGCGGAATCTGCCCAGGCAGATTGCTAATGTGCAACAAGGAAGTGCAGCATTTTCCAGCAATACTCATTTTTCTTGCTGTATATTCTTTTTGACTGAGCAGCAGGGGTTACGAGCTAGTGTATAGAAACCAGAAGGCATTGTGCACTTCTAGCGACTTAATCTTAGTGGCGCTTAACGTTGGTGTCGTACGCATGCTCCAAAGTAGTCCCGTTGGTGTTCTATCAACTTATTCAGGAGCAGTAGTAGGGGTGCTTTGCGTGCAGCAAGATATTCCTCTGCATGTCCACTTTATGCCCCCTGTATTTTCTGTTTTTGACTTACGTTTGCAGTCTCCATGGGTGTCTTCCCTCACACCCTCTTTGGTATTGGGAAGTATTCTTTGCATTTTCTGGGCATACCGTTTCATTTTTTGTGGTTTGATTCGACAGTTACGGAGTGGGCTAGTTTATTTTCAAGGTGGTGCGCTGTCTACAGCAGAAAATTCACTCGTTTTTGAATAGTCAACACTGGCGAGCATGTCGCCTCGATTTTTTCCATACGGAAAAAAGGGAGGCGGCATTGTTAATACGGTCAGTGCCCATATCTTTGACAGATGTTTCCTGTAGTAATGGATTTCGGGATGGTCGGCCGCCGGCTGGACGTAAGGCTGCTCACCTTTATGGGAGCAATCTGCTTAGGCACCTTCTTGATGCACATGGGCTCACTGGCTTGCTGGGACCGAGAGACTTTGCTATCCAGCTGACAGTTGACTAATGTTTTGCAGCCAACGTGGTCGTGCAGACTACAGGCATGGGACTCCCATTTTGTGACTCGCGCTTTACCTGCTACCTGCTGGTTGGTCGCTGCTGGTTAAACTGCTCACTGTGAAGAATGTGAGCCTAATTGTTCAGACAAGCTCATGAGATGGCATGTTCACTCAGGTTCGATTCCAGCACAGTTTGGTACAGCTCTGCTTCATAGTTTTATCTCCCAGCGCAGACTATACCGGTATGTGGTTTATTAAAGAAACAACGCTGTGCTCTGCCTTCTGCGCAGCTTTTGCATCTGCAGCATTGACTCGCACCACAACGTTTGAACACCCAATGGATCATGTGCGTAGCAGCTATGCGTTAGAAGAAATCAGAGCAAAAAAATCCACCATTCATACAATCACAACTCTGTGCCTTCCAGCTGTGTCGGAATTGCCGTGCGACGTAGCCATACGAACTGCGCTTGAACGCGGTTTTGGAGCATTCGATCTCGTTTTGCCTCGGAACCTGCACGACCGCTTAGCTTAGGAGCTGTGGAACACTGAAAAGCGGAGGAACGTCTAACCATCAAAGTTAAATGCTTGTTCCATGCACTCGGGGTTCGTTGGTGCCCACGAACAGCAAAGAGTTTCCGCTTTTCTGCGGGAGATGCAGCAAGTATGTTCAGGAGGCACAGCAAACAGCGATTGCAATGGGTACAGTGTCGCTGGACGCTTTGAGGGTAATTTTTTTATCACCTGTGATTCATTTTGCAATTGGATGGAGTATGGGGAATTGGGTCGCCAGAGAATGCTTTCAGCGGCAAACGTCTTCCGGAAGTCAAGCGCTCTTATTTTAGTAAGGCGTGTTGCATGCCCATTTCGTAGCCCGTTGCATAGAGCACGAACGTCGTGGTCAGTTTCAGACTCGGTTGAGCGACACACTCCGTGGCGCAGTCAGCGGCGGTATTCCTACAGATGACCGCCAGTGCGGCCGCATCATAATTAAGGCGCACATACATGCAACCAGTCCGCTGGTGCATTGCAACCCTGTTTCTGGGTGTCTGGTTTGTGTATTTGGGGCTAGTTGCAGCTCTGAATCTCGTCTGCGCATTCCAACAGCTCGTACGTTTGGTCGTATGTTGTTAGTGAATTCAGCGGTGGAAATATAAATTCTGTCGCCGCAAGGCAGTCTGTGTAGACGGGGTCGCGATATAGATACTATGGACCTGCTGCGAGGGCTAAGTAGCTGGCAGCAACACATACATCATTAAGAATTTGCCGCTTTGGAAGTACCGTTGGTCCCAATCTCAAGAAAGGGCTACCATTTCCAGTGCATATCGTATACCATATACCCACGTAAATACACGCATTGTCTGGCCGCCCATATATCTGCATGGTTCAGCGTTTGCTATCGGGTTGCGAAACGTCGGAACCCACAGTTGCTAGTAACGACACTCAGGAGATTATCCTTCACCCAGTTCAATTGCTTCGCAGGCAGTTGAGCACTTGGGAAGACTCATTTGTCGAAAGAATGTAAGTTGATTACGAGGGGCTAGATTTCACCTCGTGAGGCATGTGAAAGCACTGAGTTCCACATTCTATCTTGTGGAGCATTCTGTTGTTCCGCAGACTGTTGTTCGTCTGTGCAAACTGCGGCTGCGTTGTGCGCACAATAGTGGCTTCGAACCAGTGATGGTTTTGAGCTTCGCGTTGCGGTTTCCTCGCAGGGTCACTGGTAGCCAACTTCCGGAAGCGTCTTTCTGGATCCATAGATTGAAAGGGATGGGGAATAGGAGTGTGTGGATATTGCAGGAAGTATGTGGTCTTTCTTTGTCAACAAGAATATTTGGCGTTTTGAATGAGGATGCGCACACACCATTTGAACAGCTGGCCCTGGCCGTGAGAAGCACTACATAGTTGCTTTTCGTGTGTATGCGTAGGCGTTAGGCATGCATAGGGAGCCGTGGATGCGACAATTATGTTCTCTAGATGCGTGTCATTCGCCTTTATATTCCTTGAAGTGAGAGTGCTTTTCGGTGGCGTTGGCGCATGCAGTACGCATGCTACGGACATTTCAATGGCACAAAATGTACGGTAGTGTGACAAGTGTATTGCCATCTACCCGCTGGGGCCAACTCTGTGCGCTGTCTTGCCTTTGTCGGCTACACCGATGAACCCTTCGTGGGGCTATAGATTATTCGCCATTGGAAGTCACGGATAATGGAGTGCAGCTGACTTTTCTGTTGGCCTCCACCTTCTTTGCTAGGTCATGTGAGTGTGCGCGTGTGGATGTGTCATAAGCTGATTCAGCCGACGCT